CCATCAAGTTGATTGCGACTCACAGCGACCCTATAGGACAGAGTAGAACTGCCCCATAGGTTTTCCAAGGAGCAGCTGGTGGATTCGAACTGCTGACCTTTGTGATTAGCAGCCAAGTTCTTAACCACTGTGCCACCAGGGCTCCAGGTTTCCTTCATAGTCTACAGGAAATGGATGTACCACAGTTTATAGGGGCATTTACATATCCTTGCACATTTATTGTATTTTACGCAAAAAAACAAGTGCCTTCTATGTTTGCCTTCCCCCACATAAGCGTGCTATGCTAATTTTTTACAGCAACATGTTAAAAACAATTGGCATAGCAGCGCTTATGAGAATACCTCGTGGAGGGAGGGCGAGGTTGGGAAACAAACAGAAGACACTCATTATTTGCGTAAAACCACAGTAGGTTGTTTCCATGGTTTGGTTAGGAAGTTATGATACCCTGAACATCCTTGCTCGTCTCTATGTACTCGAGAGAAATCCGTAAGAGTGGGCCAACTGAGAATCATTTTTATTAGGTTCTTGGTATGTATTTCCCAATTACTTTCCAGATGTGTTATGCCAAATTTTTATTTTATCAGCAATGTATGAACATGTCCATTTTATTGCTATCTCGTCAGCACGGGGTATTATATTTGCTTTTGTTGTTAGTTAAAGGAGCCCTGGTAGCACAGTGGTTAAGCACGCAGCTGCTAACCAGAAGGTCGGCTGTTTGAACCCACCAGCTGCTCTGGGGGAGAAAGACCTGGTGATCTGCTCCCTTAAAGATTACAGCCTTGAAATCTCTGTGGGGCAGTTCTACTCTGTCCTATAGGGTCGCTATGAGCCAGAATTGACTCAACAGCAACAAGTTTCAGGTTTTTTTATTAGTTAATTAGATGATGAAAACCCAACTGATTGTGGTTTTTATACATTACGGTTACAAGACCTTAGTCATATACGTGTTTTGCAGATATTTTCTCCCAGTTGGTTGCTTATCTTTTCAACTCTTTTTTTTTAACAGTATCTTTCTAACAGCAGAAGTTTTTAATTTTGGTAAAGTCCAACACATCAATTTTTTTGTCATGGGTTTTGCTTTTGGTGTCATAGCTAAGAAATTGTGACTCAAAATGCCCAAGATTTTCTCCTGTTTTCTTTAGCGTTTTCATCGTTTTCAGGCTCATACTTAGGTTCATAATCTTTTTTGAGTTACTGTTTGCATACGGCAAGAGGTGTGGGTCGAGACTCATTTTTTGTGGTGGTTAGTGAAAGATGAAAGGAGCCCTGGTGGCGCAATGGTTAAGCTCTCAGCTGCGACCTGAAATGTCGATGGTTCAAACCCCTCAGCAGCTCCTTGGAGCAAAGACCTGACGATCTGTTCCTGTAAAGATGACAACCTAGAAAACCTTATGGGGCGGTTCTACTGTCGCATGGGGTCACTATGAGTCACAGTTGACTCAATGGCATCCAACAACAACAACAAAAGATCAGGAACCTTTCCTGGAAAGGAAATGAGAATAACTGGCCTATCAAAGGCCTGTTTGGTGTTTAAAGAAGAGGGACAAATTTGCCTTTTGTAGTTATATAAGGTCTTCTAAGTCCATGCAGTAAATGTAATACATGGTACATTATTGCTACCTATTCAAATCTTGAGTCTAATTCAGGACACACCTCAATTATTGGCAGAAACTGTACACAATATTACCACTTAGGTTATTTGTTTAAGGAATAGATTTGCTGATTTCACCTGAACAATCAATGCAATTATATTAGTTAATACGTTTACTCAGACCACAACTATTTTTGAGGACCTGTGAAGTACAAAGGAGCCCTAATGGCGCAGAGATTAAGCACTCCGCTGCTAACGGAAAGGTCAGCGGTTTGAACCCACCAGCCACTATGAGGGAGAAGATGTGGCAGTTGGCTTCTGTAAAGATGTTGTTGTTAGGTGCTGTTGAGTCGGTTCCGACTCATAGCGACCCTATGTACAACAGAACGAAAAACTGCCCAGTCCTGCACCATCCTCATAATCGTTGTTATGCTTAAGCCCATTGTTGCAGCCTGTGTGTCGATCCGTCTTGTTGAGGGTCTTCCTCTCTTTCGCTGACCCTCTACGAAGCATGATGTCCTTCTCCAGGGACTGATCCCTCCTGATAACATGTCCAAAATATGTGAGACATAGTCTCGCCATCGTTGCTTCTAAGGAGCATTCTGGCTGTACTTCTCCCAAGACAGACCTGTTCGTTCTTTTGGCAGTCCATTGTATATTCAATATTCTTCACCAGCACCACAGCTCAAAGGTGTCAGTTCTTCTTCGATCTTCTTTATTCATCGTCCAGCTTTCACATGCATATAAGGCAATTGAAAACACCAGGGCTTGGGTCAGGCACACCTTAGTCTTCAAGGTGACATCTTTGCTTTTCAACACTTTAAAGAAGTCTTTTGCAACAGGTTTGCCCAGTGCAATGCGTTCTTTGATTTCTTGACTGCTTCTTCCACGGGTATTGGTTGTGGATCTCAGTAAAATGAAATCCTTGACAACTTCAATCTTTTCGCCATTTGTAATGATGTTGCTTATTGGTCCAGTTGTGAGGATTTTTGTTTTCTTTATGTTGAGGTGTAATCCATACTGAAGGCTGTGGTCTTTGATCTTCATCAGTAAGTGCTTCAAGTCCTCTTCAGTTTCAGCAAGGAAGAGTGTGTCATCTGCATAATGAAGGTTATTAATGAGTCTTCCTCCAATCCTGATGCCCTGTTCTTCATATAGTCCAGCTTCTTGGATTATTTACAGATTGGATAAGTAGGAACCCTTCAGTGTTGCAACTCGAGGCCTGAATTTTTTCTTCAATTCTTTCAGCTTGAAAAATGCCAAGCGTGTTCTTCCCTTTTGGTTTTCTATCTCCAGGTCTTTGCACATGTCATTATAATAGTTTACTTTGTCTTCTCGAGACGCCCTTTGAAATCTTCTGTTCAGCTCTTTTACTTCATCATTTCTTCCTTTCGCTTTAGCTACTCGACATTCAAGGGCAACTTTCAGAGTCTCTTTTGACATCCATTTTGGTGTTTTCTTTCTTTCCGTTCTTTTAATGACCTCTTGCTTTCTTCATCTATGATGTCCTTGATGTCATTCCACAACTTGGCTGGTCTTCGGTCATTAGTGTTCAACACGTCAAATCTATTCTTGAGATGGTTTCTAAATTCAGATGGGATATGCTCAAGGTTGTACTTTGGCTCTTGTGGACTTGTTCTAATTTTCTTCAGCTTCAACTTGAACTTGCATGTGAGCAATTGATGATCTGTTCCACAGTCAGCCCCTGGTCTTTTTCTGACTGATGATATTGAGCTTTTCCATCGTCTCTTTCCACAGATGTAGTTGATTTGATTTCTGTGTATTCCATCTGGTGAGGTCCACGTGTATAGTCGCTGTTTATATTGTTGAAAAAAGGTATTTGCAATGAAGAAGTCGTTGGTCTTGCAAAATTCTATCATGCGATCTTCAGCATCGTTTCTATCACCAAGGCCGTATTTTCCAACTACCAGTCCTTCTTCTTTGTCTCCAATCACCAGTAATTATCAATGCATCCTGATTGCATGTTCGATCAATTTCAGACTGCAGTAAATTAGTAAAATCTTCAGTTTCTTCATCTTTGGCCTTAGTGGTTGGTGCATAAATTTGAATAATAGTCATATTAACTGGTCTTCCTTGTAGGCTCATGGATATTATCCTATCACTAACAGACACTAAGCAGCTGTACTTCAGGATAGATCTTGAAAAGTTCTTTTTGATGATGAATCCAACGCTATTCGTCTTCAATTTCTCATTCCCAGCATAGGAGACCATGTGATTCTCTGGTTCAAAATGGCCAATACCAGTCCATTTCAGCTCACTAATGCCTAGGATATCGATGTTTATGCATTCCATTTCATTTTTGATGATTTCTAATTTTCCTAGATTCATACTTCGTACATTCCATGTTTCGATTATTAATGGATGTTTGCAGCTGTTTCTTCTCATTTTGAGTTGTGCTACATCAGCAAATAAAGGTCCCAAAAGCTTTACTCCATCCACGTCATTAAGGTTGACTCTACTTGGAGGAGGCAACTCTTCCCCAGTCGTATTTTGAGTGCCTTCCAACCTGAGGGGCTCATCTTCCGGCACTATATCAAACAGTGTCCTGCTGCTATTCATAAGGTTTTCACTGGATAATTGTTTGCAGAAGTAGACCACCAGACCCTTCTTCCTAGTCTTAGTCTGGAAGCTCAGCTGAAACCTGTCTGCCATGGGTGACCTTGCTGGTATTTGAATAGTGGTGGCATAGCTTCTAGCATCACAGCAACATGCAAGCCCCCACAGTAGGGCAAACTGACAGATGCACAGGGGCCCGTAAAGGTGTACAGCCTTGGAAACCCTGTGGAGCAGTTCTGCTCTGTCCTATAGTGTCGCTATGAGTTGGAATGAACTCAGCAACAATGGGGAAGAAGTACAAGGTCCTGTACTAGATGCTGTGGGAAAATAATTTCTTTGTGATTCTATGGATCACCTGTCTGTAATTAACATCTGATTTCTACAATGATAGGGAATCAAAGTAATTAATTTTCTTGAACCACAAAATTATTATTATATGAGAAACATTTGTCAATATTAAGAATCTTGGGTTCTTCTTGTTGTTGTTGGTTGCCATCAAGTAGATTCCAACTCACAGCAACCTCGTGTGACACAGTAGAACTGCCCCAGAGGGTTTTCTTGGCTGTAATCTTTATGGAACCAGATCACCAGGTCTTTCTCCCACTGAGCTGCTAGTGGGTTCGAACCACCAACCGTTCAGGTTTGCAGCTGAGCTTAACTATTGTGGCATCAAAGCTTCTTGGGAATATACTAATAAAGAATATTAAATAAGGGACTGTGATAAATAAGAAAATTTTGTGAATGTCACTTGGAGCTGTTTGTAAAGTTGAAAGTTTCTCAGTAATGGGCAGTGCCACCCAAACCTTTTAATCAACTATGTTTTTCTCCATAGGTCATCAGCTCAATGAGTTCCCTGTCTGAGTACTGCCTACCTTCCATTCTTCGTACGTTATTTGACTGGTATAAAAGGCAAAATGGTATTGAGGATGAATCACATGAATACAGACCAAGAACAAGCAATAAATCAAAAAGGTACATTTCTATTGTGTAGGAATGGTTTCTTTTTTCTTTTCTTTTGATTTCTTCTTTTTTTTCCCCTTTACTCTTTTTTTAATTTTAATTTTATTTTTGTGAAAATAGACACAGGAAAGGATACAGTGTTTCAACAATTTCCACATGTACAAGTCAGTGACATTGTTTACATTTTTCAAGTTGTGCTACCATTATTGATATCCTTTTCCAAATTATTCCACCACCATTAACGTAAAGACACTGCCTTCTAAGCACCCATTCAGACTTTCAAGATGCTGTTGTCAGTGTGATCCCACATAATTAAATCTTTCAAAAAGCACAATGCTCAAAGAAGATATACGTTACTAATTAGGGTAAACTGTTGTTTGGTTCAGAGCCAACTTCCAGGACAGGTTTTGGTTTGAGGTTTAAGGTTTGAAGATTATCTGTGTAGCGCTTGGGGTCTTTAAAGCTTTAAGCATCCATCCAAGCTACAACAGTAGGTCTCCAATCACCTGGAGTAGCAGAGGAAGAAGGAGAGTCAGAAATCAGAGGATAAAATGCTGTCATTATGAACATCTGCCTCCTTTGCCATGAGACCAGAAGAACTAGATGGTGCCCAGCTACCATTACAGAATGTTTTGATCTAAGAGTTTGTGGAAGAATCCTGATGAAAAGCAGGGAGGGGAATGGAACAGAATTTCAAATTCTCAGTGAAATCTAGAACTTCTGGAGCCGTTGAGGCTGAATGAACACCCCAAACTATTGCCCTGAGATAATCTTTAAACCTTGTCTTTTCTTCTTAAGAAACGTAAATCAAGTTGTGAGGCTTATAGGTATTCTGCCTCTACCCATAGATACCTGGCAGCCATGCAGGGATCACCTGGTCTGCAGCACTGAGCACATTTTGAATACTTGGTCTCTGCTGGCCGTTACAGATTGAAAATTCATTGTTGTCTTTAGGTGCCATCGAGTCAGTTTCTACTCATACCGACCCATGTAATAGAGTATAACTTCCCCATAGGGTTTTCTAGGCTATAATCTTCATGGAAGTGGATTGCCAGGTGTGAAAACGGCTTGGGGGCAATGTCTGACCTCCTCTAAGTTCACAAGGGGGAAGGAGAACCAAGATCAACAACCCAAGACTGATTCCTATGCGGTAGAGTCAGGCATGCCTCCTGTCTCTACCATTTTTATCAATTCTGACACCAATTGTCCCCCCCACAGCACTCCCTACATCTCTGCTGAGTTCGGTAATTCATTGCAATAGCCACACAGAACTCACAGACCATACTCATGATTATGGGGTTTATTAGGGAAGTAACAAATTACAATTCAGGCTCAGGAACACTCAGGATACAGTTCTTCCATCAGGACAGCCTCTTCCCAGCTGCACGCACACCTCTCTCTGGCCCTGCGTCTCTGCCCAAAGGCACTCAGCCTTCTCTCTCTGGGGGCCGGGAAGCCAACCATGCCGTCTCCGGCTGCCAGGTCTCTCCTGCTGGTCTCTCCTTCCTTGGAGGTGGGGGACTCCTCCTCTCTGCTCTAGAATTGGCTCTCTTTTAGGGCAAAACTGACCAATCCCCTTGATAGGCCACAATTACCCTATCACACAATCACCTGGGTGGGAGTTACAGGACAGGGCTAGAAAGGCCACACACAAAAGTAATTAATCGCACCAGGACTTTGTCCCACCAAGCCACTGGGTGGGTTCAAAGCCCCAACTTTTCAGTTAGCAGCTGAGCACTTAACTGTTGCACCACCAGCGCTCTTTGACAATTCAGCACAGGGTCCTCAGTTTACCCTCTCTTTGCCAGTCTACACCTGGGCCTCCATGACCTGCATGGGGTGCCTAGAGGACGTTTTGGCCGCCGTTGGCGGCCCCTTGAGTGCTCAGTGCACTATAGTGGAAAGAACGCTGGGCTGGAAGGGGGCTGGAGTCCTGGCACTGCCACTGATCTCCTGTGTGACTTTGGGCAATTCTCCACCTCTCTGTACCTCGTCTTCAGTCTGACGGTGTTTGCTGGGCTGCAGCAAGTTCTTCGGCTTCCCCACACCTTCAGTAAAGTAGGCTGGACACATACAGAACTGAACGGGTTGCTGCTTCTGCCACTGTTAATATTCTGGGATATTGTAGAAATGAAAGGAAGAGTTTGAGTTCTACGTTTGGGTTAATACCAGGGGAGGGAGGCTTTAAAAAAAATGGCCATAATTTGAGAACAAGAACCCAGGAAGAAGAAAACCAAGGATACAGGTGGCCATGTGATTTTAAACCCTTCGAAATTTGCAGGGGAGCCTTGGTGGCTCACTGGTGAAGCTCTTGGCTGCTAACCAAAAGGTCGGTGGTTCAAACCCACCCAGTGGCTCTGTGGGGCAGAGACCTGGCACTCTGCTCCCGGAAAGATTACAGCCTAGGAAACCATATGGGGAAGTTCTGCTCTGTCACGTGGGACCACTTTGAGTCGGAATCAGCTCAGTGGCAACGGGTAACAGGTAGAGATGTGCAGACGTCTTGGGGGGAATCTGTCTAGATCGTAAGGGCGAGAAGGCTGCTGCACTTGACGTCTGTGGTCCACGACCAGGTCTCATTTACTCCTCAGTGACTCTGTGAGGTACGTTCTGTTACTTACCCTTACTTTTCACCCCAGACAGCGAGTCACCTGAGTTTCAGAGCACTTAAGTCACTTGTCCAAGGTCACACAGCTTGGATAATGGCAGAGTCATGATTCTAGACCAGATCTGTTTGATTTGAAAGCACATGTCCATAACCACTTTGCAAACTGCCCCCTGAAACAACCGCCAGTGGAGTGGGCACAGGCCTGAGGTGAGGGTCACCTCGGTGCTCAGTGTGCTGTGGTGTGAAGACGCGGGGCTGGAAGGTGGCAGCAGTCCTGGCGCTGCCGGTGATCAGCCGCGTGACTTTGGGCAGCTCTCCACCTCCCTGTGTCTTCATGAGCAAAGGGAGGAGGTTAGCTTACAGGACCTCCTACTTCCCTTCCAGCTGGGAATTCTCTGTATTTATTCTGCGATCCTGTCCTCTGGTGGGTTTGAAAAGTGGAACTTCCTTACCGCACAACCAACTTCAGCAGTCATAAAATTCCAGATGCTCAAACAGTCAAATTAATGTGCGTCCCACAAAATTCTAGGTAAATATATATCATTTCATAAGGAACCCTGGTGGTGCAGTGGTTAAGCATTAAGCTGCTAACCAAAAAGTTAGTGGTTGGAACCCACCCAACAACTCCACAGGAGAGAGACCTGATGATCCGCTCCCGGAAAGATTACAGCCTAGAAAACCCTATGGGGCATTTCTCCTCTGTCCTATAGTGTCACTATGAGTCAAAATTGACTTGACGCACACAACAACAACGACGTATATCATTTCATATATTTGAAATCAACCTACTTGAGCCAGAAAGTGAATATAAGAAAGTTTAAAACACTTACCTTTTTTCAGAAAAGAAAGGGATTATTTTAAACAGCTAGATTTTCCCACATGAATCTATTGTGTAACTTTTTTATGGTTTGAAAGAAAGTAAACTGAAACGAATCTCTCAGAAAAACACACATTAACTACTTCTGGTGGATGGTTTATCTCTCTTGTTTTTCTTAACAGCCCTAATACTTTAAAATATATGTATGTATATATGTAAATAGACTTCTCTTGAAATTAAGGACATGTAATTTTACCAAAATACATTTTATCTGAACTTGTATTTTAGCCTCATAATAGACTTGAGTTATGTGAGATTCAGTCATTTATCATTTTGTTTTGGGGAGAGATTAATAACTTTTTATTGAATAATATTTTTGGAGTTGAGAAACAATTTTTTTTTGTAAAGATATAATTCACACACCATAAAATTAACCGTTTTTTAAAGTGTGCAATTCAGTGTTTTTTTAGTATATTCATAAGGGTATGTATGCAACCAACAGCACTATCTAATTCTAGAATGTTTTCATTACGCCAGAAAGAAACCCTGTGTCCTAATACGGCCTTCTCCCATGAATACTTTTTCAATTTACCAAATAAAATTTGATCATTAAAATTTCAGTTCTGTTTCTGAAAATGGTTCCGACTGTGTGATAAAAAAATTAATGGGATCGTTTTATTGTTTCTCCCATATTACACGTTGGCTTATGAACCGATATTAAAACTTTTCGGCATTGGCGGCGGGGCAGGTTTAGTGAGTTAGATTAGTGACTTTTAGTTGTGTTCTTCCTCTTACCAGAATTTTACCAAAACTAGATTTTCTTCAGAAGTTTATTTCTTGATGGATTGATAGTGATAGGTTTTTAAATCATGTTGCTGATCATTTTCAGGTCATAGTAACTGCTGAGGTGAAGTACAGAAGTGAGACTGTGAAATTCGATTTAGCAACATTTTAGTTGGCATTTGAAAGTTTAAAATAAGAGAGAGAGAATGTGTGTTTAGGAGAAAGCTAGGAGAGTGAGGCTCTGCAGACCTCGATGTGGCTGATAATAC